ATTTTGGGGTAAGTTACTCTTTAAAAAATACTCAACTGCAAATTCAATGCAAGTGTATTTGTAATTTTGGCATTGTTGCACACATTTTACATCAGATTTTTGTAATCTTTTGAGTCTATTTATTTTTCTTCTATATTTCTGGATAGACTGGAACCTTGGGTACAAAATTTCATTCCACCATATGTACGTGTTGCGAATGACAATAAAACTTCCTTGATTCCTCGACACAATCAACTTAAGTGAAGGATTAGAAAATCATCTTCTGTAACACAAAAGTATTTTTATAARATTGCTGTAGGAGGTGCAGTGTTTATGTCTGTTTCAGACCGTCCTGGGTTCAAGGTCGGGGGCTTTTCTGTGGACTTTACATGTTTGTTTGTTGTGAGTTTCAACATGCATATCAAGTCAGTGTTATCCCTCAGTGTGCGTTAAGGTTTTGTCTCCATGTGTCCCTGTGATGGACAGCTGGAGACAGGAAGCAGCTCTGCTACAACCCTGAGTGGAAACGAAAGGATGGATGTTCTTGTGTCAGCTGCATCAGCAGCAGAAACCAACACAACTSCACCATCTAGTGGCGAAGTGGAAAAGTGCATCACCACAGTGTTCAGCAGCTCTCTGTACCCATATGATCCTGTTCAGATCTGGTTTCAGACAGGGTACACCTGGACAGGATACCAGACCATCACAGTCCACAAACAGAACAGAACCAACCACCARGCAGAACTTTCAAAAAACTATTTATTAACCAACAGAGCAGAGTTAAATAAAGATCATTTCACAGTTGGAGTGTTAGGAACTCTGCAGCCAGGAAGGGTTCAGCTTTAAGGCCACTGAGACTGAAGATGAATCAAATGTTTTCTAAACTGAATTCATTTGAATCAAACAGCAACAAAAACCGGATCAGAACAGGAAGTGGTTCTTCTCTCCTTAGAACTTCTGGATGAGAATAGAAGAAGCTCCGCCTCCTCCATTGCAGATCCCTGCCAGTCCAAACTGACCTGACTTCAGGTTGTGCACCATGTGACCCACAATCCTGGCTCCGGACATCCTAACAGAGGAACAGATGGTTTTACTCAGTGTAGAAAGTCAAAGCAGCAGCTTTTATTAAAAAAGAAGAGTTCTTCAGGACACAGAACCATCTGAAATAACATTTTACTTTTCATCTTAACAACACACTGATCCACATCCATATACTGACTGAATGACTGATTGATTTACATGGTGCTTACATTGTTGTAGTTTTCTCCAAAAGGACACGTGGAAGTACACTTTACAACTTGTGAAATGTTGTAAATAGGAGAGCAAAAGCTTGGTGAACAAACAAGCTGTTTGWATGGTGCGCGGCGCACGCAGCCTTTGCACAGTTTCAAAATGTCYGAGGTGCACAACGTGTTGGGACACTGCGTGGGGGCGGGGACGGCGCGTTTGCGTCACTTTTGGAACGTGCCCCCTCACGACGTGTCAACCATAAACCAAGCTTTACTGGGACACCCCTGTTGTTTTTGTTTACCAGCATATAGGGATGCTTTTGGCCAGGACAGGATGTCCCTCATAGACCAACGACTGCTTAAAATAGTCTTTTAAAAATAATAAACAAACCCATCTTTAGAGCTATGTGAGCTGAAATACAAATAATCTAATTGCAATGATTATATTTCCAATTTTCACTCTTTAAGGAGGATTCTGCTACCGACGTCCTGCATTAGCCGAAGCTAACAGCAGCAAGCCGAAGCTAACAGGAGGCTAACAGCAGCCAGCCGAAGCTAACAGCAGCCAGCCAAAGCTAACAGCAGCAGCCAAAGCTAACAGCAGCAGCTGAAGCTAACAGGAGGCTAACAGCAGCCAGCCGATGCTAACAGCAGCCAGCCGAAGCTAACAGCATCCATCTGAAACTAACAGCAGCAGCTGAAGCTAACAGGAGGCTAACAGCAGCCAGACAAAGCTAACAGCATCCAGCTGAAACTAACAGCAGCAGCCGAAACTAACAGGAGGCTAATAGCAGCCAGCCGAAGCTAACAGCAGCCAGCTGAAGCTAACAGGAAGCTAACAGAAGCCAGCCAAAGCTAATAGCAGCCAGCTGAAGCTAACAGGAAGCTAACAGCAGCCAGCCGAAGCTAACAGCATCCAGCTGAAGCTAACAGGAAGTTAATAGCATCCAGCTGAAGCTAACAGGAAGCTAACAGCATACAGCTGAAGCTAACAGCAGCAGCTGAAACAAACAGGAGGCTAACAGCAGCCAGCTGAAGCTAACAGCAGCAGCTGAAACAAACAGGAGGCTAACAGCAGCCAGCTGAAGCTAACAGGAGCCAGCTGAAGCTAACAGGAAGTTAATAGCGTCCAGTTGAAGCTAACAGGAAGCTAACAGCATCCAGCTGAAACTAACAGCAGCAGCTGAAACTAACAGGAGGCTAACAGCAGCCAGCCGAAGCTAACAGCAGCCAGCTGAAGCTAACAGGAGCCAGCTGAAGCTAACAGGAAGCTAACAGAAGGCAGCCAAAGCTAATAGCAGCCAGCTGAAGCTAACAGGAAGCTAACAGCAGCCAGCCGAAGCTAACAGCATCCAGCTGAAGCTAACAGGAAGCTAACAGCAGCCAGCTGAAGCTAACAGCAGCTAGCTGAAGCTAACATGAAGCTAACAGCAGCCAGCTGAAGCTAACAGCAGTAGCTGAAGCTAACATGAAGCTAACAGCAGCCAGCTGAAGCTAACAGCAGCCAGCTGAAGCTAAAAGCAGCCAGCTGAAGCTAAAAGCAGCCAGCTGAAGCTAATAGGAAGCTAACAGCATCCAGCTGAAAGCTAACAGCAACCAGCTGAAGCTAACAGCAGCCAGCTGATGCTAACAGGAAGCTAACAGCAGCCAGCTGAAAGCTAACAGGAAGTTAACAGCAGCCAGCTGAAGCTAACAGGAAGCTAACAGCAGCCAGCTGAAAGCTAACAGCATCCACCTGAAGCTAACAGGGAGCTAACAGCCGCCAGCTGAAGCTAACAGGAAGCTAACAGCAGCCAGCTGTTGTGAGCTGTGGAGGGTCTGATTCTTCGGTCTGTAAGCAGGTGGACTAAATGTTTCCATGTGAACACACAGTGAGTTTCTGAGTTTTACAGTCAAACACGATGAGAGGCAGGTCTGCATTCAAGCTGATCCAACATATCGCTCTCAGGCCCGGACTGACCACCAGAGACCCGGGAGGCTCTTCATGTTTGTTCTGCTTGTTACTTATTGTTTGGCTCAGTGTCAGTGGATGTTGTGAAGGCTGCATGTGTCAGTTTGATGAGTGTCATAAAATCCAGTGGTTTTATACTTATTTGTTGGTGTTTTAAAAGCTGAAATACATCCATTTTCAAAACACAAACACTTTTTTAATAAATCAGCAGCTAGCATAGCTTTCCATGCTAATGGCAACTCAGTGGCCTTCCAAAAATATTGAAGTACTCAAATATTTTAATGTATGCTGATGATCCTGTTCTTTTTTTGTCTGATTTCAATATTGAATC